AAAATCAATATTACTATAACAAAAGCACACACACACACACACACACACACACATATATATATATATATATATATATATATATATATAACAACTTTATTCTTTTATGCAGAGAAACCTTATTTTTCATCAGTAGTAACAACACATAACTTACCTAAAATGTTTTGCTATCTTAACTGGAGAGGCCATCGTATTAAGTGCTCCTTCTGATGTAGTTTTTATGGAAAATGTTGAAAAGTTCCAAATACCTCCTTGGTCAGACTCAGTTACACTCCTTGGTCGAATCTTAGTTGATCGTTTCTTCCTTCTCAAGGCTTTAGGCGAAACATCTACACTACCTGTATGATTCTGCCAATCAAATAACTCCTCATGCTGTGCTTGTACCACCGTTTCTACACTCCCTGTACCAGATCTGCTAAGAGCCAAACTACAATTCATTTCACTGGACCCAACAGATTCTTCACTATCAGAATCATTTGTGGTACATTCTCCACTAGCATCACAGGAGCTGTCAACACTGGCTTGAGGATTAGTTACAGACTCTCCACAACTTGAATCCTCTGACATAACCTCTACACCTTCTTCTGTCTTACACTGCTTTAGCCAGTCATGAACCTTATCAGATTTGTTAATCATCTGAGATGGTTCTGTGATCATGTTTTCAGAGTTGACCACAGGATCTCTAATAGCATCCCTGTTCATTTCAGGACTAGATGTTGATAGGAACATTGCCTTCTGGTCAACAAGCTGAGCAGAGTTACTGGAACCTGAAGTATGAGTACTGATGATGGAAGAGCTCAAGTTATGGCATATCTCCATCTTTCCTAATTGAAACATATGATCACAAACTGTCTTGACATTTCTGGGTCCCTCTTCTTTGACCTGGCATGAACCCTCAGGAGGAGTACTGTATAACAAGCCAACCTCGAAACCCAGAGAAGTCACATCTTTACTGTTTTTACCTTTAGAAGAATGACTGATAAAACCAGAATCTTCAGTGGGTGGAGGTAATGGAGAAAGCATGGAATGTTGACAAAAATTATCTAACTTGGACATACCTTGAGGTACTGGACTGTAACTATAAATTTTAATAAATTCCTGTCTCTCATCATTAGACAAATGTGTAGAGCTCTCACTGGAGTAACCAACATCTTGAATAATTTCAAATTGGCGAAAATTTCCACCACATTCTGCCTTCAGTTCAGGGATCCCTGTACAACCCACCATGACACCCTTATCATTACCACCTTCTTCTGGGTGATTCAACTGCATGGAATGCTCACTATTAGTTGTTTGATCCTCCATATTCAGGAATGTTTGGAACAAATTTTCATCCCCCTCAAAAGATAAACGTGGATATTTGTTCAATGGCTCCTCAACAACACTCTGGGTTAGCGAGGAAACAGTTGGCACGAACCCCTAAAAAAATATTTATCTCAGTTCATAGTGATTCTTATTGCTATATTTTTTAATTCCTAAAAAATCCCAAAGAAATACTGTCAAAATATACCACAATTAGCAACTGTATCAGTCACACAATCAATAAAGAACAGTAAATACTACATTTTTTGTCTTTTATAATACAAATTTAAACAGATTACTCTGATAACATAAAAACTTACAGAACAATCTGTACACAGATATTCAGCTGTGGTGGGCCACACTTGCACAGTGTAAAGAAACAACTAACAGAATGTAAGAGTCATGCACAGTAGAATGGAACACATATGATGCAATAACACTATCATAACAAATTATGTCATACTAAAAAACTTCTTGTAATAAAACCTATTATTTTATCTTAATACTGAGCAGTGATCTGAACACAAAATAATCTTTCTGCTACTAGCTCTTGTAATATCTAAGCACAGTTTACCTGATTCTGCATATCAGTGTGCCTAAAATTAGCTACATGCGACATACACTAATAACTGAGTCACGTTCCTAAATCCGGAGATTTTCACATGGTTTTCACAACATAGTGAAACAGCCCATCATATGTTTCTCTCTTTTAAAGAAATCCTTTGGATCCTGTTCTAATAATATACACCGGGTTACATAACGCAAGCATATGTAAAACAGAGTTCAGTTACGGATATATATATCAAGAATACAATTTTCACACGTGAAATCAAAATGATAACAACTGGAATGCTGGACTTAAGAAACAGATTTATAGGGTTAAAACACTTCAAGTTGCAGAAGAAATAGATAAGAAAGTTAGATAAGCTTGTGTACAATATGAATAACTAGGAAATATCTAACACAGTTATTAGAATGGACGGGACAAACAGGCAACATACGAGAAAAATGAAGGTAGTTATTTACGTACCAGCTTTTAAGATCGAGATATATGCTGTTTGGTAACAAATATTAAAATGCAATTTGAAACCACATAAATACATAACCGTAGTTACTGAAATGCTTCGCTAAAGCCACTGCCTTACTAATTGATCCACACTTGCGTCTGGCTCCTGTTAAAAACTATGGTTCAATGTCTGGAAGGCTAAAGTCTGGTTGATTTTGCTGCAGAAGAGTAAAGTTGATGCGCATGCACAACACAATGGTTTATAAACACACACCCTCCACGTGCTAAAACATGTTTTGTCTGACGCGTTCACTTTATAAGTAACACTGGATTCAGGTCTATTCTTTACCACTGACGTCAGCTTGACTGACGTCGCCACCTAGTGACAATAACAAATAATTGGGTATTTCAACCCATTGTAGTGGTCATTCATATATTTAGGCCAACTTCGTCGTATAATAAACTCAACACAAGCGATACATAAATTAAACAGGATAAACAACAGTTAAACAATATCGACAAACAATGAAGTACAGTTTTTTTTCAATCAAGACTAAACTAGTGATAACACTTTTACAATTATCGCCTACGCAATCTCAGCTTAAAACAAGCTATGAATACAAAGATTTGTTTAATAATAATCCTTTTAGCTTAATAGTGTCTCCACTAAGCCTTTTTTTCCCCCTTCAAATAACCTGAAAACGTACGGACGCTTTAATATAAAACATATGATAACGAACTGTATGGTTGATAAATCTCTTTGTTTCTACAATAGGAATAGTAAAATGGTAATTTACGGAATTAATTACTTTAATACTCTCGAGGCTTTGTTTTTCTTGAATTCTGCTATTTATCTCAACTAATTAAACCGTTATTGTCCATGGCTGATGCAAAATGTCGCACAACATTACAAAATTCGGACAAATATTATCGCTACTGCACACATATTTATTGCACGCGTGTAAAAACGTTTCACACTAACGCCACCTAGATTTATGTATACCACTGGACAAATAAAATTATTAACTGCGAAGATAAGCAGCAACTAGAGATTACACTCCAGTAAATCAATGTGATATAAGTCTTAGTTACTTCTTTAATGAAGGTGTTTTTACACCGTCATTTTAACATTACAATTTACAACAACATTTTGATGGCATGTTTCACGTTCTTTTATTTATTAGTGATTAATTTTTTTTGGCTTAACTACTAAAACACCATGCATCTCATTTCTAACATATCCCCCTGTAAAGGTATCTCCACATTATTTCAATTTATTATCCTCCCTAAAAACCTTATTTTATAAACACTTCATTTTCAAAAGAGATTTATTTTCTCAACCACTTGTTTTTTGTCGAACTATAAAAAATGCGGAGTCACGCTTTCATTATTACCTATTTCATGCACTCTTGTAGAAACAACGCTGTATAACTTGGAGATTTTGTAGCCCTCTGACGATATAGCACTGTAAAAACGTAACTCGAATCAGTTATGCTTCCTATAGCCGAGTTTTAGATTCGGTTCGTATAAAAACTCCTTCCCGTGTAATTACAACACATCTAAAACCACCAACAGAGGGAGGAGTTAACAATGCTCGGCAGGACCACGCCTTCTTAACTAAACTATTACGGTCCTAATTTTAAGAAAATCGCCTTAGATATTTCAACAATATGACAATTATTTTATGAAATTAGAATTGCAATAAACTATAAAACAATGCAATTGTAGTTGATTGTCCATAAACTAGGCAAAACTGTAAACTTTGTATATAAATAACATTAATTCTTGCTTAACAAACCAACATAGCATTTAGACGCATCATTAAAGTAACTTTCGTGATTACTGCCCATTAATCGCAATTGTTCTAAATAAACCTTCCAAAAGATTGACTATGAAACATCATTCCACACCTAGTCGTCAAAGCTACTATTACTAGTACAACTTGCTCAGATCGGCCTTTCCGAGTTCAACCACACGACCTGGATAGTCAGTGTGTATCTAGCTTTTGATAACATATGTATTCGATAAAACAGGTCCTGTAAAGTTTTACAGAGATGACACTAAAATACGTTGCTCCAAGTTACATAATAATATTATTTTAACACTTATAGGTGAACAGTGTAACAGGTTATCAAAGCGCAGTAATCGGTTTCCTGGGGCTTTTTCAAATTCATTTCGAGGAACACAATACTTTCCCACGTAATCTAGGTCATAGTCCTTCGGTTATCAAGGTCAAACCCAAAAACTACTGTTATATGGGAGGAAATTTACCTTAAAGTTTGGGTAACCTGTTTTTATCACACTTCATGCAGCACCTGAAAATTATTTTACAAAAATAAAAATACACATGTGACATGACAGATTAATAAATTAAAGATGGGTCATCAAAACATCTTATTGGTACAATGACCGGGTAACATATCCTTTATATTATGATTCACGTGGATGCACGCAGTATGGTTACAACAGCAGAACATTTTATTATGCCTTGTTGATGTTATCTGGTGAAAATCCACTTTAATATTAGGCCTCACGTTAAACCCCTTTTTCGTTTTTTTCATGTGGTAACGTTTCGTTTAAATTTGTATAAATAACAATTCTTCAGCTACTTTGATTTTATATGATAAAACAGTAAACGTAAAAGTACTGTCGAGAAAAGCAAAGAAAATTACGGAGTCGCATTACAGGTATTTGCTTAAAATACTTATAAGTTATTAACCGATGCTATTGATAAATATCCTATAAGTTATTAACTGATCTTTTGATAAATATAAGTTATCTAGCGAAGTAACTTATTTCTCTCCAAAATACAAACGCTTTCTGTTAAATATTATCTCGCAAGAAAGACGACCAGCCAAACCAACGATTTCAATGCTTGATGAAGTGTTTATCAAAGTGTTCTGTAGTTTCAAAACGTGATGAAGATGGCGAACGTACGGGGACGATAACCCGGTTGTTTCCATGGTCAAGTTGGTATGATGCCAGAATAACTTTTTTACACGCAATGTGTTGATGCTACCCTGAAAGCTTGTTTTATTCATTCTGCGAGCTGTCAGGAAAGGAAAACGCGGATAGACAGATGAATCCTAGTATAACCAACTTCATAATAAAGATTACGATAAATTCTAAAACGACACTATTAACCTAAAATCAGTGACACTTTATATCAATGGAGACCAAATATTTCAACCTGTCAAGTATACTTAGTCATGAAACAAGATGGAATCCTCAACAGCACTTGAATTTTTTTTAGGCAGGATTAGAGCAAATTAATCTACGAGACCTTTTTTCCTTTTTATTAGCTATATTTTTGTGCGCCAGCAATATCAAGTGTGGGGCGCGCGTATATCCGATTAGATTTAATTACTCATCAGGATCAGCCTACTGTATTGAAGTATTGAAGAAAGGCCAACACTTAAAAATACCCAAGTTTAACTTTTAAAATTACATTACTTTCAACAAAGCTTACAATAAATGAGCTTTTAAAACGATACATTAAAACACCACAGCCATTTACTATAAGTTATTTAAGGAAATATTGCATAACATTGCTAGAAACAAATAATCACTTCTTCTATGTCTATTTTGTAGTATTTATGCTCGTTTTTTTGTTTTTTTTTTTCACTTGCCACCTTATAACATAATGTGATAATTATTAAGTATCAAACACATAGATGATGAGACATTAATAATTTAATGTAAATCTTTTATATAGATTTCTGTATTCTACCATTCGAGATATATCTAGAGGTTAAACAACTGTATGTTTTCCTGTAACCCACTAGATGACGTCAAAAATGGATGAAACTCCAAGGTGTAGCTTTCTTTTTATTAAGTTCACAATTCGCGTTCATTAATAATTTGAGATTACTTATAAACAGTTACTCGCTTTAATTGCCTTGGAAAAGTTAGTACCGGGATTAGTTTTTTATAGATCGGTTCAGTTTTGTTAAGCACATACCACACAATGGACTGTGGTCTATTCACCAGGGGGTATCGAAAAACCGATTTGTAACGTCGTAAGCCTGCAGACTCATGACTGAGCACTGTAAGACAATTTTTTACAGACGTAAAATATATTTTAGGTATTCACTCTGATATTTTCAAACGATGGCTATTTTTCATAAACTATAACATTATATCTCATATTTTAAACTTTACATTTTCATCCCCTATGATTGTCATTTTATTTCAATCTTAAGTGAGATGTGGAACAGGTTGATAGGTAATGAATATCT